GTGTGTGTGTGTGTGTGTGTGTGTGTGTGTGAGAGAGAGAGAGAGAGAGAGAGAGAGAGAGAGAGAGAGAGAGAGATGTTGAATAGGACAAAGCTTAAAGTGAGATTTGTTTATTTCCATATTTACTTTAGCATGTCTCATAGACTTTAGACTATCATAAATCTCCAATAAAAACAGAAAGTTATTTTTCAAATTTCTTTGAACAAACTTATTTCACAGAACACCCTTAGGGACGATCATATATTATTCAGAAGACAATTTGGAATGTGCTGGCCTAACTCAACAGTGAATGTCAGGGTTTCACCTACACTTGTATCCTGGTATGGGAAACTATGTTAAAGACTGAAGAGTCCCCATGATCCTCACCTAGAAATGGTGTTTTCTTCTGTTAGGAGTGGGCATGTTCACAGATTGCACTCAGTGGGAAACTACAACCTTGGTCAGACTCAAGGCCTACTCTGGTACTTAATTTCATTGGGAATTTAGAATTGTTAAATACTGTGAGATTTAGGTTCACCTATTAAAGTAAAGGGGGTTAATAATTAATATCCATAACAAAACAGTTCCACCAACACAATTCAGATGAAGCAGTGACAAGAAAGTATGCAAGGTACAGTCTCAGAAGTGTATAGTCTTAATCTCTGATATGCTTTCTGTGATTCAATGGAGGCCATCCAAGTCTGTCATCCAAAAGTAGCAACAAAACTAATCCCTTAACAGTGAGTCCCCTGGGTTTGTTGGAAGCATCTACCTAACTGTGCAACTGGAACGAGATCTCTGCACATTCACTTGGCATAGTCAGTTTGAGAATCTTCGTACTACTTAAGAAAGGTCTGCTAGAATGAGATCTTTGAAATAAAAAAAGCAGATGATTTTAATGCTTGAAAAGCAACATTAAGGAGGAATAAGATTATGTTTATTGGTTATATTGGAGTAATTGAAGTGCTTTATTACCAAGTCCAAAGCAGTTCATACTAATTTAGTAATTTTTAATCTGTGGGTCTCAAAGCTTTCCATGTGTCCAGAAAATGATTTTTTAAATACAATACTCAAAGATTTCTTCTGATGATTTTCTTTTCCTCCTTGCCTGCATCGTCATCCCAATGGGCGTCTTCTATAACATGAGTTGGTACTGGTAGCCATGGTACACCGCTCATTGATTGCTTGCTTTTTTAAAACTTTTATTTTTCTAACTTTAGTAGCTACTTCTGTGTTCTACCTGCTTAATATGTGTAAAATGTATTAGCATAACAAATAAATAGGGCATCTACTTCAATGGACTTAACATTGAAAGGCAGCTCTCAGAAAATGATTTCTTTTTGAATTTTTCATAGTCTTTTCTACGTGATCTCTTTAGAGAAAGAATCTATCTTCAAAAACTGGTATTACAAACAATACCGAGAATTTGTTACTTGTGAGATTACAGAAACTGATGGAATCTAGGTCAAATAATCCGTTAATCTGAAGCATAGACATCCCTTAATCTGGACCTAGGGCTTTTAATTGTAAACTGGAGAGAAACCTAGTTCCTAGATGATATCTCTGGTCTGACGGCAGCTTCGGGTTCTATGATATGATAAGAATGGCCTGTTTCCCCTGTACATGAAAACCCTGGCTACCATTCTCAGCCTTCCTTCTGGTTAATTTCATAACTAGGTAGGAGATGAAGGTTCAGATGCTTCACTAGAACAACTTGGCAAACAGTTGTTTCTTACTCTGTGAAACAGAACCAAGCCCTCTGTACTAGTCTGGGCTTTGTCCTATTCCTTCGAGAGGAGAAAGTAAGGCTGCCGGGTGATGGTGGTGGTAAAGCTTAATGTATATGATGCTTCTTGGTCGCTAATGTATTTGAATAAATAAGTTCTTGGTAACTGATGTATTTGAATAAATAAGTTCATTTGTCACCTTGCATGGTCAGCTCCACCTGAAGAGGATGAAACACAAGATAGATATGTCTTTACAAGAGATGTCTAACAGGAGGGAAATGTCTCAGTAAAGATGCAAAGAGTCAGGTACTGTTAACAGAGATGTGTAAAGTAGCCGAGTGGAAGGTGAGACAAATAGCCCCTGGGGCCCTATGGATTCGGGTATTAGGTAGGTAAAATGAACAATGAATGTGAGTGTTCAAAAGACCTCCGAGGACCTGTGCTCCCCACCTCTCTTTCAATATCAAAATGTGTCATGAGTTACATCCAACACTTCAGTCCCCCCAGTACCTGTTACCTGATTGTATATTTAGTACCTGTTGTTTTTACAAATGCTAGGAATTTAAAAACTATATTTTTCTCCTCAAAAATATTTTGAAACAAGCCAGGAATAGTGGTGTGTACCCTGTGCTCCACGCTACTCAGAAGGCTGAAACAGGAGGATAGCATGTTTCATGTGAGCTTCCATGCCAAGACTCAAAACAAGCTTTAAAGTGAATATTACAGTGTCTATGAACATTAAAAAATAATGACAATATATCTATAAGACAAATAGTTGTCTCTTTGATTTAATAGGTAAGGATATGACAGTGTGTCCCCTCAGACACCAACTTGGTGACAAACTTCCCAGTGCCTGTCAGTATGAAGACAAGTCTCATCTTGAGTGGTGATCTATGTGTTGATGTTTCTCCATGCTGCCTTGAGCCCTGTTCCCTTTCTGTCACACAGAAGCAGGGACAACCTCCTGCTTCTGGTCCCTGCTTCTGTGTGTGTGTGTGTGTGTTGGGGGGGAGAGACTTGCAATAGCTCCCTAATGTTTCAACAGTTTGGCTCCTGCTAGTTTGTATGGGCTAAAGAACACTTTTTTTTTTCCTTTTTGCCCAGGGTGAGCACACTTTCCTTTGCTGCTCTTCAGAAACTTAAGCATTTGGCATCTGTCTCTCCCTTGGACCCCTCCCACTCCTAGTCGTCTGTGTCAGTTGGCCATTTGTTTGCCTTGTGCCCTTTTGATGATGGTGGACATTGTCATCATTGGTTTACATTCCTGTGCCCACTGTACTATGCCCTCCTTAAACAAGCACGAGGGTTTCATCTCTGTCCCCTGCCTCCTGAGACAGCACTCACTGTGTAATGGATGTCTGGTAAATATCTGCTGACCCAGTGAAGATATAAACGATAGAAAACAATCAGGGAGCAGTCTCTCGAGAAAAGGCTAATCCTAGGGGAAAGTATCGATAGAAATAGTAAAACACGGTAACACTTTACTGATAAATCTGAATCTGTTTTAAAGAAACACAAGTTCTTTAAAATGATCTTTCAAGGAAAACAAGCTAGTGTATCCACTGAGACAGACTGTCTCCTTTTTGGAGTTGAGGGAGTGTAGTTGACTCTCTGCTTTCAGACTCAATTTGGGGGTTGTGTTTTGTATTTCAAACTAATACCTTCAGCTCTGAGCACCTTAGCAGAGCAACTTAAATACCAGACCCTGCAGTGTCCTGAGTTCAAAAGGGCCCTCCTAAGGGTCTGGGATTGCTCCTGGCTGTACAGCTGGTCTGACGCTGGGTCACCCAATGCTTTGGTTCTCAAGCTCTTTCCTCTAGCATTTAATGAACAGCTAGCTTTCCTCTGCTTCTGTTTCTGATTCCATTGAAGAGAAGGGGTAAAGTATGACCACTCGAAGCACTCTGCTCATAGAAGGCGCATCTGAGCTTACATTTTACATCCCACCAAACTTTGTGTTCTGTTGTTGTTATTTGACAGTGATCCAGGGGAATGGCGCGTCCAAAAGCCCGCCGAGCCCAGCCTGCGAGCTCCAAGGGTTATTGGAGTCAAATTTTAAACAAAACCTCGACAGACTTAGACTCAAAAGAAACCCGACTCTCAAGTCAGGGGCCTGCATTCAGAACCAGAGCTCAAAGTAGCTGTTTGTGACCAGAGTCAAGGGTAGGATTTTTAAAACATGAAAGTAGATAAAAAAGCAAAGCAGAGCTAAACCCCGCGGCCCGCCGACTCCTATTCATTTTCTCCAGCAGCATATGGGACCATTCTCTGACTTGTCCTCGCCTTTTCTTCCACACAAGCAAAAGCAACCAAGCCTGTCCCCAATCATAGCTACTCTTTGTGCCTGAGCG